CGGGGGGGTTAACCTAGAAAAGAAATTATATTTTAAATTTTAAAAAGTAGCCCATTCTTAAGTAGTCATCCAAATTCAGTTTTATACCTTGAACAGACACTATTTTAAATTAAAAGCAAGAGTTAAGAAAATAAATTCTTAATTAAAAAAACTTGTGTACTTAAATAATATGAATTAGATATGCAATAACCATTGGCCAAATTGCCAAGAACAAGAGAGAACTGCAAGAAAAACACTGCTGGTCTTCTACCAAAAAAGGGGTTTCCTGACACCGTAACAACCTTCTAAAGCCAAGAAAAATCATCATGAACAAAACCTAAACATCCCGATGTTGATCACGACAAGCCAATCTCCTTTCAATTCTTTCCTTTCCTTCCATATCTTTCTTTTCCTTAACCATCACATCTAAGTATTTTAGGAGCTATAATATTTTATCATCTCAAATACTTAAACATATTTATGTTATACTTCAGCACAGGAAACAGTTAAAGACACTGCTTGAACACACTATTTCAACTTCAACAATTAATCACTTTGGTTACATTTATATCAAAAATGTACTATTTAAAACAAGGAATGTGATACTAATTGCTATAATGCAAAGATAATTAAATCCGTTTTCCAAACCTTACATATTTCCCATTACAATATGTGACAGTGGAGGAATTTCTGGTTTGAGCCATAAATCTCACTGATTTAATAAATCCGATGATTCATAGACATTCTTACCAGCTGCACTTCTCCAAAAGCACCTCTTCCAATCACTTTAACAACATCATAGTCTTCAGCTTTCATTTGTAAAGCTCGAATTTTTTTCACAATTTTCTCATCTAAAACAAATTAAAAGAATGGTGTCATAAAATACACGTACAATGGAGTGCACGTTTTTGGGAAAAGATGTGGTCACATAGTTAGAACCAGACATTTGAACACAAGCATTAAAACATTCAGAAAGCTTCTGTATTATCTTGATACTGTTTGTTTGGAACTAAAAGCCACTTCCGTCTCAGTGAAGAGCAGTTCTCTTTATTTTCCGAAGCGAACACCGCTTTGTTTTCAGTTGTAGTTCACATAACGCTTTCTCTGTAATATAAAGTTGACAAGCTTTCAAAAAACTCTAGCCATTCAGAGAGTCGATGGGCTAAATCTGTGATGTCATACTTCTAGTGTACTGCCATCCTCCACTAACCTGATAACAGGAATTGTGAGGAGGACCTGGTACATTCATTCAGCAGCTTGGCAGCTGCAACCTGCTAGCATAAACCTATACAATTCAATAGTACTTAAGTGGTTAAGTATAAACCACTTAATATAAAACTCAGTAAATCTTTTTTTTTAAATTACAACTCAAGGCTCCTTTATACAGGGATGTTACCTTGGATAAAAAAATTAGTTAACTCTCAAGGTTGCAATCAAATTACACTGAATTAATGTGTATGCACGTGGTGTACACACCACTTTGTTCTGCTAACTCAAGATACTTTCCTTGATGATTGTGTCCACACAACTCTGCACATTTGAATAAACCGCATAGCATTCTTTGCATGTATTCCACAATGCAACATTTCATCGCTCTGCTCTACACACTAATTCTTCTTGAAGTGCATTATGGGATGAGTGTTCAAAGCCAAAATAATCTGGACTGTGACATGTGATAAGGCATTAGGGAACAGTTATAACTTATTGACTGTGTTGCATTATTGGTATAAATGTTATTAAAATGTTTTAAGTCATGGGCTTTTTAGAGATCGGATTTCTCATTAAACCTTAAAAACTACTTCTTGCAAGAAATAAAAAAGGGAGCTATTAAGGCAAATCCTCAAAGCATCTGTTACATGCAATATGTCAGTTTTGAAGTTTTACCTGTTCCAGCCTCCCACTCGCTTCTAAGAAAAAGAACAGAGGCTAGTTTGACCCAATTCAAAAAACTCTTGACAAACAAAACATATTAAACTGCATAAAATAATAGTTCCTTGATTAAGAGAGGGAGATGCATCTGGGAACAGATAGGGGCAAGACTGAACAACAGAACCAGGTCAGATGGGAAGAGCTGAAGTAACTTAGACTTCCCAAGGAATCTATGTATAACCACCCATTATGGTAAACACAAGCAGAATTTCCTTTGGCTTTAAGGTATGTGCTTTCTATTAAGTGTTTTTGTCCTGAATAAATAATGTCTTGCTTTAAGAAAAAAATAGTGATCTCTTTTACTGGCCCAGCAAAAACCCCTCAACTCTCTCATACATTTCCTGGGCCATCACAGATATAAGACCACTCCAACCCCACTACAATATACAGAATTGCTAGTAAGCAGTAACAGAAGTGAAAGCTAGTAGTGCAGAAATGAAAATAAAGCACAAAGAAAAATCATGAAAGATGAGTCACGAGCAAATGAAAAAAAAGCTGTCTGGTTGAGTACTGCAGATATAGCTGCTGTTAACCTCTCAAGAGAATTAAAGCAAACAAACCCATTATCTTCTGAGGACCACAAAAGAAATGATACTCCAAAGCTGTAAAGAGCATTCAGATCTGCAGGAGAGATACTAAGAGAGAGAGTGATCTTGGAGACTACTTCCTGGAGAACAACAGGAATTAGGCCAGCATAAAGCAGTATCTATACTACTGCTCCACAGTGGAAAAGGCTGCCATTTTAAGGAAGAAATCTACAGCTAGAGAAAGACTGACCTTGGAGGCTCGGCAACCAGCTACACCCAAGACAAATTGCATCAATACAAGCAAGAAGAGAGAATAAAGCAGAAGCAGAAGGGGGATGAAAGAGAAAAAAGGGGGGGTACCAGCACCTAGAAAGAATGCACCAGCATTTCCTACCTTCAGTAATGGGTAAAGACCCTTTATTATCTGCTTCCTCCGGTGGCAAAGGCTCTTTATTGTGGCCTCTCTTTAGGGATAGGGTTGACTGATATATTTGCTAGTGATGTGCACTGTGAATTAAGCACACCCTGGGGAATTATGCAAGTATGCGCCCATGCAAATTTGCACATACAATGCATGATCATGCATCATTTTACATAATTTACCGCAGGCAGGCTCTGTGCCTCCACCTCTGCAGGGCTCCCAGCACTCCAGCTGGAAGCCTCATGTGGAGGTACTGAGTGCAGTGGCACATGACTGGAAAGCTGGTGAGAGGGAGCTCCTGCCCAAAGTGGGGAAGGGAGCCAGGGATCTGTGGATGGGTGTGGGCCATCGGACTGTGCCAGCCAGCTCTGTGCCTCCATGTGGGCCTTCCAAGCACTCCAGTGGGAAGCCACATGTGGAGGCAAGCAGGAGCCCATCCGGCCCAATGCTGTGTGATTCTGTGCCTTCATGTGCAGCTTCCCACTGGAGTGCTGGAAGCCCCACATGGAGGCAAGGACATGGCCCAGCCTGATGGCGTGCAGCTCCTGCCTGCAGTGTCGCAAGTCCCACATGGTGGTATGGAGCCAGCCCGGTCTGGTCCAAAGGCATGTGCCAGCAGGTCAGGCTAGCTCTGTGCCACCATGTGGAGCCCCCAGGACTCAGCCAGAGCTACACACCACCGAGAGCTCTGCCTGCCGTAGCCATGAGCACCCCAAGGATGCACCACCTACTGTTGCTGAGCCACCAGCAGCAGAGGCTGTGCACCACTGAGGCAGAGTGGAGGAGAAGAAATGTGTGGTGGGAGGCTCACATCCACCCATAAACCTCACACCAACCCACACACATCCCATACATTCCCATATCCTCCCACACCCCCCCACACCTTCACAAAGCCCTCCATACCCCTCATACCCCACCTTCCACATGCACACCCCACCCCCACCCCAACCATATAAAGTACATGCATACATTTCTAAAGAAGGTTCAAATGGTGTTACATTTAGTTTAATTTGTAAAAAAGTAATTAAATTTTGCAATTTTTTTATTTTGTGCGTGTACAATTTTGATTTTTTCTGTGCATAGTTCCCTGCGGTGTAATAAAGGGTGATGTTACCTTACTGGTCTCCATTATCAACAGGAGAAGCTTTCAACCACTTTAATCCATGTGGCCATCTTATCTGAGATACAAAACATACATGCAGCTGATGCTTGCACCCCAGATGCTTGTACATATTTTATAGCCCATGAATTCTGAACAACTCTCCCCTGCAGGGGAGAGGGGTAAAGTTAATGGGAGACCATTAAAAGAATAAAATTACACTAATTGTCCAAACTGTAGTCCAGTGGTTCTCAACATTTTTAGACTCAAGGCACCCCTCAGAAAATGCCAGTGTTCATTTGTTTTTTGCAACAGAACATTCTGTAGTCAAAGAACTAAGAAACACAAAACGGGCCAGAATGTTTTTAACA